CCTTTAGCATAGTTAGGAATACTTTGCTACAATGGAGTCAGCTGAACTTGAAAGGAGCACAATTCTCTCAAACCTTCCTATATTCTCACCGGATCTACAGTACCATAGTAAGCTGGTAATTAGGCAATCTGAACCATTTTGAAGGGGCTTTCCCAAGATCTTATCAATGACCAGAACTGTGGAATATTAGCCCTTCTTGTTCTGTGTTTCTGTCAACAATTTTTGTTGTTTGGTTTTGACTGGAGTTATTTGAAATTTAATTGGATTGCTACCATCTTTTGCTTTTCTTTAGTTTTCAATATTCAAGACGTGTTCTATTTTTGTAGTTCATACATCTATATTTGACTTCTATTGTTTTTATAGTTAGCAGGTTGCTGCAATTGTTTTTTTAATGATATTTTGCTCTTTTAGCCGGTACTTGGAAGGTTAACCAACTCGTCTGAAAGCTTAAACTGTAGAGAAGAAACATTTATTTATTTAAATCTTGTCTTCAACTCTGCAATTGTTCTTGCCTTTAGTGATGCTTATTAAGCATGGCATAGTATTAACTGTCTATTGTGAGTTCATTTATTCTCCGATCGCAGCAGATTAACAAACCAAGATGATGGAAGGAATGCAGAGCACTCTGAAACTCGGTCATCCAGAAAGTCTTGTAGAGAGGAACATAGTATAGGAAGCTTCTCTGACAACTACAATTCTAATCGCCCCATTAGTTCTCCATCTAGTCCTTATTCAAACCCCAAAAAACTCAGCTCCGAAAGAGGTAACAGTGTTTTTTTGGTAACCTATTACATGTCTTACTTCAGTGTTTTCTGCGTTTGGTCTGCAATAGAGGTGCCTCTATCTGATGCAAATCTTGGCCTAGGCTTCTCTTATCAAATGCTACTCGAGAAGACTTCATCTACTGTTGATAATTCTCCCGCCAATAGTTCAAATGTACGTTCTCACCGTCATGCAACAAGTCCTCTTAGACATGAATCATCATTGCCTAACAATGGCTGCAATGCTCAAGCCACCTTACATCCCTTACCTCCTCCTCCAGTATCCAACATGCCTTCCCAGCCTCCAATTTCAACAATTGCAGCTAAAAATGAATTCATTCCCATTAACAGTCTATGGCAAAAAGGGAAGATTCTTGGGCGTGGGACATTTGGATGTGTTTATGTTGCTTCCAACAGGTACACATTCAATACAATTACCTTTTCCCAAGATTTCATGTGGTACTAGAGACAATATACTTGTTATTGTGAACAGAGAGACCGGGGCTTTATCTGCCATGAAAGAAGTTGAAGTTTTACAAGATGACCCAAAATCTGCAGAGAGTTTAAGGCAGTTGGAGCAGGTTTTCATCCAGTTCACGTGTTTCTCTTTTTTATTTTTATTTTTATTTTTTTAGAGTCCGGTATTCTGTCATTAAATTTATTGAAATGCAGATTGAACCTTCTGTTGCATCATTGTCGGTGTGATTATGGTTAATTAACATATTTTTATGATATCCAGCAGTTCTCTAACCTGGAAAATGGACATAACCCTAGTGGTAACCTAACCAGCTTAATATAACTTATCTAAATTTTATATATTGATGGATGTTGAAAATTTTTTCTTACTGGATTATAGGACACGCATAACAGAAACAAGATATCCAAAACACTTTAGGGTAGAAGGAAAACGAACAGGTGAAGAAAACAGTTGAATAATATTTAAGGAAATGTTTCCTTCAAGTTTAAAAACTGTTAAAAAAAATGTAGAAGGTAAAAACATAAAGCACTCACTCCATTCCTTAAAATACATATTTATTCATCTTTGATCCTGCTATATATGTAATTATCAGATGTGGCCATCTGTGATTTTCTATTCAAGTTTGTCGTGATAACGTAAGTTATTTTAGTTTTGTAGTAATTATTTCTCACGATTAGAATTCGCCCTTTATCTATATGTAGGTTCTTGAAAATATTTCCTGAAATTTGCTTTCATATCTTATTTCTATTTGCAGGAAATTAAATTACTGAGCCAACTAAAGCACCGAAATATTGTGCAGTACTATGGTAGTGAAATAGTGAGTAATTTCTTTAATGGTACTCTGGAAACTGCTTGGCATCTCTGTATATATGCTTTCATAAGAGTCTTGGTTTATGTTTATCCAGGATGGTGACCGATTCCACATATATCTTGAATATGTCCATCCTGGTTCGATCAATAGATATATCCGTGACCATGGTGGACAAATTACAGAATCTGTTGTACGCAATTTTACTCGCCATATTCTCCGTGGGTTGGCTTACTTGCACAATATGAAAACCGTACACAGGTAACGTTGACAGGCTTGATATGCTGATAGAAGCACTAGTACGTGGTGGGCTAAAAGATTACAAAGAAGGTTTTTTTTTTTTTTAACTTCTTTAGGTGGACTGTGGATGGATTATACTTAAGAATTAAGATTCTGGGTTTAAGTTCTCTTATAGTTCTAGAGTTACTGAAGTTTTATTTCTGAGCAGACCAAGTTTGATGACATCAATTATTTTAGGGATATCAAATGTGCTAATTTGCTTGTCGATGCGTGTGGAGTTGTCAAGCTTGCAGATTTTGGGATGGCTAAACATGTGAGTTTTGATCTTCCAAAATATATGTCAGTATTGACAAGGGCAAAAAACGAACTGTGAACTTGAGAGATCCAACAATCAGTATTAAATGACTGATATTTCTTAAAGAGCCTTATGATATCTATCATAATGCGATTATGCATGAGAATGTTTGTATATTGAGATATTTGGTTCTCTAAATGAATCTCTCTTTTTTTCCTTTTTCAGGCACTTTTCTTTGTATTCTCGAAATCCAATATTAAGACAGGATACCTAATAGCTTCTCTCTCTGTGTTTTACTAAATCTTGTACTTAGGAAGCGTGAATTTATGTCTATCTAATGAGTTCAGTAAAATAAGTTGATATTTGGTCTAGATCACTTTGTACATGTCCATTTTTCTGTATTTTCCACTTCGATTGCTTTGTAACCCTTTTCCCATCCATAAATTTTTAGTTCTATGCCATATTGCAATAGAAGCTGCTCGCATGTTTAAAAGTTCAATATGTGGGAGAAATGAGGAAATAATTTTAGTTAGCATTTCGATTTTCTGCTCAAACTTAAAATACAAAACCATTAGATCATCCATGCTGCTCTGTGAATTCATTCTAGCTTTACAATTATTTCACCACTTTCCATGTTCAACTTCCTCGTTGTCAGTCACTTTCTTTGAATGTATCATGCTCGAGTTTAAAACTTTCATCTCGGTTTACAGCTACCTGAGCAAGTGGCTAATCTGTCATTAAAAGGAAGTCCGTATTGGATGGCCCCCGAGGTACATTTATGTTACAAGCTCAAGTTGTTTATCCTGTTAATTGATATTTTATCACACTGACATCATACCATTTCTTACAGCTCTTGCAGTCCTCGATGCAGAAGGATGCTAGTTCCGATCTTGCTCTAGCAGTCGATATATGGAGCTTGGGCTGTACTATAATTGAAATGCTGAATGGAAAGCCTCCTTGGAACGAATATGAAGGGGTAAGCACAGGATATTGAGCATCCACATTTTGCTCCTTTTGTTTTGCTTTCCTGGCCTCCAGCATAACTGTGTCCACTTTTTCTTTTCAGGATGTTCACTCAAGTTAAAAATTTATGAACTCGGGATATTTATCTTTGTTTATCCACTAATTTATTTCATGTTATTCGATTTATCTATTTCAGGCTGCAGCTTTATTCAAGGTTCTAAAGGAGACTCCACCAATACCTGAAACACTGTCAGCTGATGGCAAGGATTTCTTGCGTTGCTGCTTGCGAAGAAATCCAGCAGAGAGGCCAAAAGCTAGCTTGTTACTGGAACATCAATTCGTGAAACGATCACACAAGGATGATGCCTTATCTTGCCCGTAAATTACATTTGTAAACTGCCTTTGCATTTTCTCTTTTCTGATACTGGTAATCTATTTAACATTATGCACGATTCAACAGGACTACACACCGTTTTCTATAAATTTGATCTAGTGCATGTATCCTCAGACACTAAAATCACAGAAGGCAAACCCGCTCACAAGTAGGATCTGTTGGTGGAGATTGTGATGGAGACTAGTCCAAAATGTGCGCTTATTCTGAGCTTGAATAGTCGAACAGAAACTAAATTCTTGTTCATTTTCTTGCAATATATATTTGTTTTTGAAGATAGGAAATCTTTCAATTCAATCTTTGGCAAATTTTCATTCTTGTTGTGAATATAAGGTAGAAATTGCACATTTATTTATGAATAATTTAAACAATTGATTTCATATATTCAGTGATTTAAAATTTGTATTTGTACATCTTTTCCAACTTCCCCATTTATTATTCTCCTTTCCCGTCTACATCAATTGGTACTAGAGTATTGTTAAGGGATAAATTCTACATTTTGTTAATTACTAAAATATAGACCAATATAAGGGCTTGATTACTCCTCTTAACCATGTTAATTTTTTAAGATGAAATTTCAAATTTTAATATAATATCAGAGTCCATTAAGTTCAAACGAGTAATTTGATCCAACTAAGACTCAAATGAGCGCACAGATTTTAAGATTAGTCGGTTCAGATAGTCTTCATTTTACAGTGGCATATTAAGAGATAAATTTCATATCAATTAATTACCAAAACATAAATCAAAATATAAGAATTTGGGTTATTCCTTTTAACAAGGTCATTTGAGTTTTCTGTTCCTACTTGGCTACATGTAATGTGAAAGACAATTTGTTATTTATTGAAGTAATGTACATTTTCTGAGCACTATCGTCCTCCTTTTACAGCGTGTCCTTATAAATTGATGTATTTTATTATGAAAGTTGATATTTGAGATTTGAAGACTCCCATTTCACGATTGAGCATATCAAACTATTATTGAGAATAACATTTAGTTTGTTATTGTATAATCGGGAGGCTTTTCAAGAAATTTACTTTGCTTCTCAAACATCTGAGCCAAAATCAAACAGTGGTCTTAATCATCCAGTAGCTGCAATTCCCGATGAAAACAAACACAAATTGTCTCATTCCCAATAATATTTTCTCATCACTCTGTTAAGTTCATTGCTAGAGCTACTTTACGATTTAGAACTAGATCCTTAGCGGCCACAACTAGATCCTAAGTGACCGGTTGTGGACCGGTTCTACTGAGATCCCATTGCATTTCATGATCACATCATATGGAAAAATTCTAACTCAAGAGAGTAAATCAAGTGAACAGACAAGATTAATGAAACATATCAGCCTGTCAAATGATATCACCATTTTGAAGTACTTAGCAAGGATCAAGAATCAGCATCCCAACTTTCATTTATTACTATTAGTAACAAAAAATGTAGATTTATGAAATATACGTGCGTGGTGTTTTATCTATAAGTATATAATCTTGCCACAAAAGCGCCTTGAGAAGTTCAAATACTATAGGTTTCGGATAAAAAATATTTATCGGTATAAAAGGTACCTGAAACTGAAATTATACGGCATAACCTGTACTAATGTAGAAAGAGGCTGTTTTCCTCTTCTCTCAAGACGTTTTACTGCCTGATTCCTGAGTTCATCCGGTAGCTGTAGGCAAACCCAGTCAAGCAATGAATCCAGGTCTTTTGCAAAGTCAAGTCGATACCAGTCTAGTAATTTTGGAATTATTAACATGTTTTCTGATGAAATCCCAACTGCTGCTTGTAAATAGTCTCTTTTCGCACTTTCCAACTCGGTTTCAATATGAGATGCAGTGTAGACCCTCACCTTAATTCAAGAAAATTTATACATGTTTATAAATTTTTCCATTCAAAGTATCAATGGATATTTATGTTCAATATCAGCATAATATTGGAAATGTTAAACAGTAATAGAAAGTGTTCAAACTCAACGTATTTATAGTTTTCTGTTTCATACATACATCATATGTGTTATTTGGGAATCTACATTTCACATTTTCTATAACAATATTTCACTTTTTGTGAAAATAATTTTTTTATTAAGCTGGGATCGAAGTTTAAAGCATGTTTTCATAAAATTATTATTCCATGTAAATAATTGAAGGATCTTTCCATGTTAACTCAACAAGCAGCATAGTGAACTTACAGCAGGGGAGGACCAACTTCCACAAGAGAGTGCAAATGTGACCAATGGTTCAGACCACTCTAAGCCGAATGTGCTACGAACCTTCATTTCGTCGTTTTTCGTAGATTTTTGGCATGTCTATAAAAGTGATTATCAGTTTACGTATATTCTTGAAACTATACAAAATATTTTGCAAATATACAGTGTTTTAATTAAGGAGTAACAGTGACAAACTTACATATTTTAAATGAAATGGTAATCTTAAGATGAAGTGCTCAATCATAATTGCATTTAGCAAATGTCCTCCAACAGTTATTGTTGCCTGCAGGAAGCATAGTCGAATTTCAGGAAATTCTGGAGTTCACGTGCAGTGGTAAAATTTAATTCAGTAGCCAGGTGATTTGAGAGTATTGAATTTCCATAGGATCTTAAATAAGGCTGAAGTATTTCAGAAAATTCACAGATTGCTGTCAAATTTTAACGTTCATGTAGGATTGTGAACTTAACATCAGCTTGGGAGTTGATGGTTCTTCATCATCAAGTGTTTTCAACTGGAATTGGCCGGAACATTTTTCGATATTGTACATCAAATATATGTTTTAACGTACTCTATAACCAGAATTTTCCATTACAAATAAACAGAAAACACTATAGATGATCAGCAAAACCATTAGCATTCAGCAAAGTTGAGAAAATATGGATTGGAGTGATTAGTGAAATCTTGCCTTTTGCATTAGTGCTACAACCATTTCAGGATTGTCGGGAATTCCATGCTCCAAAAATGCCTGCAAAACATTAATAGTGCAGCTACGTTTACTATCCTTAAAATAACTTTTGTTAAGCACCGGGAGAATGTTTAAAGTCCAAAAAAAAATGATCATTAGTAAAAGAAGTTTTTGAGTGAAAGAGAGACTTCATACATTCATTATGCAGGAATTGTAGGTGTTTATCCAGAAGGCGAGCTTCTGTTGATGTGTTAAACCCTCTAACTTGATGGACGCTAGCTTGCCATGGAGGAGTCTGAAATTTTCGTAGGAAAAAGTTAGTACTATATGATTTCATCATATCAAAACCATAAATATGACTATCTCAGGCCTCACTTTAGTCTATGGATCAAAAATGATGCATTTGTTTTGCGGTTCAGATCAACTGAACCAGCTTCAATCGTGCAAAGATGTTTGTAAGGGCCGATGTCCCTCTTCTTAAATTCAGAAGATATACAATAAGGATCTCGAAAATCTGATTCCATGTTGTTTTTACTAAATGCTCTAGATACTAGTGAAGAAAAAGACTCTGAATCCATCGTTTTCCCTTTCAGTTTGTTCAATCTTAGAAAAATGCTGGACAAGCACTTTAGTATGTCCTCTGAGATTTTGTTGGCCGGGCTCTCTGTATCTGTCACTCTGTCATCGGATGAACTCGACGAACTCTCTCGTGCTTGCTCCACAATTCTACACTGAAACAGTACAATAACATAAAGAATCGAATGTCAAGCCATAGGCCAAGACTTTATAGCATGTTTGGTACACAACACACACATTGAGAATGAGAAAGTACCTGTAATTTCCTTGGACTTGCAATTTTTCTTATTGGTTCAGGCTTCAGTGCAGGTCCCTTTTCCGGGATATTTATTACAGGTCTTCTCTTTTCCGAAGATAGTTTATCATTGGAATAATTGAGATACGATCGGTCCTCATTTCTTAATCCATATTCCGAGGACAAATTTGGTTTACAAGAAGCTAGTTTTTCATTTGATGCCCTGTTAAAGGAATCCCTTGTGACTTCAGACACGGTTTCGAAAGGCAATCGTTTTCTTGTAGCACTTCTTGTAGATGCACTTCTCGCGAGAGAAGCTGAAGGTTGTGCCATATTGACTTCACTTTGGGATAAGGATCTCGAGTGGCTTCGTCTAGAACTTCCAATTGATGACTCAGTGTATGAAAACGGTGAATCCTCCACACCTTTTTGGGAGGATATGTAGACAGCTTCCTGATATAGTCCTTGTCTAAAATTTACGACCTGTTCTTCGAGCCGAACTACCTCTTCTTCCAATACAGCTACTTCGGCTAGAAGCTCCAAGGTCTAAACATCACAGTGCAGATAACAAAATTACTTCTCTAATCAATTGTGGGAACATAAATAAATTTGAAGATTCAAAAATCAATGTAAAATTGATTTAATTTGATTAAGTAGAATATTGTGAATTTACGAACGGGAATAATCTGAATCAACTTGACTCAAAAAATTACTCATTTCGAGAATCCCAAGCATTTCCCATTTCTTTTAACAATAATTCCCAATCATTCCTTTTTAGTCCCTTTTGCCTATTCCAAATTTCCAACCAAAAATCTTGACAGAATGTTCAAGAACAGGATTGACAAGTTGACAAGTTTTGAACTTATTTTTCTTATTTAACATTTTCCAGTATTATCGAGAACTGTGTATATTTGATATCGCGGACAGTATTTAAGAAGAAGAAAAAGATAAAATCTTGTTCATTGTAGCGTGTCTTCCTGTGCTTGGAGCAACTACTTTGTAAAGAAGAAGTGACAGATCTAGAATAGAGTTGAATTATACTAACATTATGAGGAAGATAAGGAGGAAGCCGAGGTAAAGCTCCTAATGGTCTATTGAAAGCCCTCTCCAAAGCTCTATGAACATTTTCTTCATGGCTTAACTTCTTCCTTAGCTTATCAACCTGCAAATGTGAAGGAAAAAAAAAACCAACAAAATGAGAATGAATAAAAGTAAAAATATGTCAAAATTTACCCTTTTTTTTCTTAGAAATTTGATTACGTCTTGTAATAAGGCCAGTTTTCTTTCTCTCATTGACCGGCGCCAATTCCCCGGAGTTTTTTCTGCAGACTGTAATTTGCTTCTCTGCAATTCCATCTTCTTCCCCTGCAAAGATTCAGATTGAGGAGGTTTTCTAAGTACACTTACATTTACATTGAGGGGGGTCAAAAATCATTAATTCTTGGATAAGAATAAAGAATCCTATTCACATTAAGATATAAAGAACCCAACTTTTCAGTACTAAATGACAGTTCACAATCTATCATATTCTCAAAATAATTGCTTATTAAAGAATGGAAATAAGAAAAAAAATTAAAAATACTTACATTTTGAGGATTTAAAGGTGGTTTCTTGGAGCTAATGATTCTGCTGAATCTGTCATTCATCCCTTTGTTACTTTTTCCAGGAAACACCATATGGATCTACAGTTGCCTCTTTATTTAGATTGCAATAAAGAAAAAGTAAGAAACATGGAATCCCACTCACCAAGAAAAAAGTATTGATCGTGTAACTAAGTCAAGTCAAGAGAAAATAAATTCTAGAGAAATAACCACACAAACCCTTCAGTAGAATAGAAGTTTTACACACATATAGAGAGATAAGAGAGAAAGAGAGAGCGGGAAAGTTGAATGGTGAAATGGAAGTGAGGGACACTATTTTGGTAAGAATGCTTGGAACATATCATAGAGC